ACGCCTTCCTTGATACCGGACACTCTGATCTGGGGTAGAGGACTATTTATGTGTCATGAATTTAACTTAACCTTAGTTTGTCCTTGTGTGAGTACAAATGGTTATGACCTTGTCATATAAACATGCTGAAACATATTTCAATCACTGTAATCATAACATAACATTCATTCAAACTTTAATCATTGAGCACAGATTAATGAAACATTTCATTATATTATAATTATTATAACTAGCAATAAACAAACGTTTATTTAATGATTATCTCGCTTATAAGTTGTAGAAGTTCATATTTAATTTAGGAAATCATTCTTTGATTTAGCAACTAATCTAGGCTGCAATTGTTCCTTATGGAGGCATGAAGAATACTGAAAGATTGGGCCTTGAGGAGCATTACTGTTGACATTTCGTAATCTGTGTTCAGAGCTGCAGGCTCTGAGCTCCAGCTGGTGGGATGGAGGCAGACTGATTTAAAGGGGACACATGCAGCCTCGTGTCTCCTTTTTGACCAGATGTTGAATGGTCAAACTGTACCTAAAAACTGACGATTGCTGGATGTTACAGAATTAATCAGAAATTGTATCAACAGGGATTTTTGGGCAAAAGAGTAAATTACTTGTAGATAATTCTAACCTGTCTTGGCTTTGTTTGACAAACTCATTGTTATGGCCCCTGCCAATGGGAGAAACAAAGCGTCCATCCAGTGAGTAAACAAATATTGCTGTGCGAGTGCGACTGGCTGATTGGCTCTTTTTATGTTCCTGCCAATGACCGTCTGGCTTATCATTGGTCTGGCTGTGTTCAACCGCTAATTGCTCTGAGTGGCTCCACCTGTGGGTGTAGCATCAAAGACTGGATGCCGCAACTACAAAGGAGGTGAGGCATAGAGATGACCTCTGGGGAGCTCCTGTCTGTGTGGCAATTTTGGTGAGGCCTTTTGGAGACTGATTTTAAAATAAAAATACTCTTCATCTCACACCGTGTGTCCAGACCTCCTCCTTATGTTGAAGTCCCACGAGCAGGGCCGGCTTTGCCAACAGGCAACACAGGCGGCTGCCTGGGGCGCCATCTGATGGATAGGGCGCAAAATTAAAAAAAAAAAAAAAAAAAAAAAAAGTTTATTAAATTTATGTATGTAATATGAAATGCACTCTCTACATACTCAAAATTCCCTTTTGAAATGACATGAAATTAAAACATCAATATTTAAATTCTAATGATCTGGCTACATTTCGAGCTCCCGCTTGGGCCACCGCTCCGATGCATTTGACCGTTAAGGGTGCCGTAGATCATGTGTGTGGGTAGCACTGTAGAAGGACATCCTGTTGTCGTCGCGTTTAAACTTTTGATATTTCACGATGAAAAGAACACCTAAGCCATTGGGATCAGCATTCCGAAAGCGAAGGAAGGAGGAAGAAAAAAAACGGGCCCAAAGCAGAGGTACGTAGACTTTATAATTTTGGCAAAGGAACTTTTTGCGTTACAATTTTAGCTAACTGCCGCTCCTGCCACACACGGTCCACGGACGGACCCTCGCTAGCTGTTTACATACACAATACAGTATCTCATAACTTTAACCAATTAATTTTACTTTTGAATCGTCGTGTCCAGATGCAGTGAGACAATGTTGAGTCTCACTGTGATGATGAAGAATGTAATATTTTTTTAACTGGTTTTTGGAGTATGCTTGCAGCCTTTTTATGAACTTAGTTTCAAGTTTTAAGTACGCATGCAATATGAATTTAATATTTGAATATCAGAAGAACGTTAGGTGTGGGTGTAGCAAATTTTCAACTTTGTCCGACACATCGGGCGGCCGCGGTGCCTCCCGCTGCCGCCGGGCCCGGCGGGGAGTGAGAACTGCCTAAACACAGCATGACATCTTATGCTGTCTCTTTCTTGTTTACGCTGCAGCGTCTTCTATCCAGGCATCACGCAGCAGAACATTTACTGAGCTACAATCTCAGCATCTAGAACCAGGTGAGTAAGTTACTTGTTAGGCTATTTGTAATCAGCAGTAGAAACGGACTTTTTCAAATTTAATGGCTTATCACATGTATCGATATGCTAAATTTATTTATTTAAATCCACACCAGACACTTGTTTTTGGCACAATCAGTGCAGCATTGATTTAGCATTGAGAATATTAAATAATGAGAACATACACATCTGAAATTGTCTCCTTAAGATGTTATTGTCAATTAGGCTGTAAATTTGTAAAAAAAAAAAAATAACAAAAAGATGGACGTTAGTTTTTGTGACATTAGTGAGTCATCTTCAGGGCATAAAGGTTTATGCCCTGAAGAAGGTGGTACCGAAACGCGTCGGCGTTTCCTTGTTTAATAAATGAAATCCTCTGAGTGCCTCAGATCACCGGTTCTTCTTCCTCATATTCTACAATTTATTTGATGCTGAAGAGCACCTGAGGGTGAGACATACATTTTTTCAAATATTCCCTATGGATGCACTCACTTCCACCTGTTTTTGATCATTTTATTCATGTTTTCCCAGAACAGATAAAAAAAAAAAAATCAATAAAATAAAAAGTCCAGTAACATTAAAAATAATGAAAAGCATCACTGCACATGACTGAGGAATATTGAATTTGAAAGTGGCACTGTTCTTAATTCACGCATCAGAGGGTTAAGTTGCTTTGTGTGTGTGTGTGTGTGTGTGTGTGTGTGTGTGTGTGTGTGTGTGTGTGTGTGTGTGTGCGTGCGTGCGTGCGTGCGTGTGTGTGTGTGTGTGTGCGTGTGTGTTTATTTTCTCACAGAAGAAGAACCCAACACCACACCAGCAGACTCGGTGCTCCAATCCAACAGCCTGAAGAGACATCATCATCAGCTTTGACAGATGTCTGTGAACATGTATGAGATGTTGGCTCCATGGATCCTGCTGACTGGCCACAGCAGTTGAACAAAATGGAAAGTAGAACTTTCTTTATGATGACACTGATATTTGAGTTTTGCTTTTGATTGCACAGTTTAATGTTGCTTTTGATTTTGCAGGAGGCTGTACCTGGCGTTTTAACTACCCTGTTTTACAGCCTGTTCTGTGGCTGACTTCTTAGCAGCTTTGGTGTGTGGCTTGAGATGAGCACCACATTGTTCTTCTCCAGTGATATTTGGGCTCTGGAGGCTGTAGCTGCTGGTCAGTACAAGCTTTTTGGGTAACCAAAAGTTTTGACTTTGTGTTGTCATGTAGGCATCTCCGTTGTTCGTTCACTTTGTTTTGTTTGTGGTTATGATTTTTTTCTCTCACTGTCTTCTGAACATTGGTGTCCCTACATGGCCTAGCCATGTCAATGAAATGTGGCTCACTTTTGACGTAATTGTGTAGTTGTTTTTTGTTTGTTTGCTTTGTTTTTTTTTTTATGAAAAAGAATGAAGGAGTGTGCAATGCACTACTGAAGGCTAAATGCTTCCGGAGTTAGTGCAAGGACCAATTTGATGTGCCACTCTCAGATTTTCACTGGCCCTATTGGACCCACCATAAAAAATGTTCTTGGGGCGCCACCGCTTCCGAACGTTCAAATGATACTAAGACACTAACATGTCCTTTTAGAAATTTAATTCATATCTTTTAGATAACAAACTGTATTTTTAAAGGTCTAAACAGCCTAACTGCTCTAGGTTTTCAAATAAAACCGATGAAAGATGATCTAGATGGAAACTTCATTAATCCATGGTAACACAACAGCTGTCAGTCCAAGTCAGGGGCCTCATCATGCCTCATTTATCGGATAGGGACCAATCGTGTAAAAGCCAGCGATTTCTTGATATTTGCAGTCAAAATGTCAAAGTAAAACTTATGTTAGACCAGAACTAACATAAGACTGTTAGACTCTTCATGAGCAGAGCTGCCAGTGAGAACACACACCTGTTGCTGCAGGCTTAGCAGAAAAACTGGTCTCATTGCTTATTTCGTGCTTGATGGGTGCATTCTGCATGTATGGATTGGGTGATTTAACCATTAGATGTTTAATTTCTCCAGTGGCAAGAAATATCTGCATTCAAGGAGTGAAAACATTCTCTAGTGATTATGTTTTCTCTCTGGTACTTATGAATAAAACGCCATCACATACATGAAACTGAGCTTCAGCTATCTTACTTTGAGAACATTTCAAGCCTTTGCATGAACGGTAGCTGCACGACTCTTGTTCCATCGTGTTTTTGCTTTGAGATGCAGTGTTCTTGTTGTCTGCTTTCCAGGCAGGGTTCCACCTCGGTCTCATCAAACAAACAATGAAAGAGTTACTTAACGTGTTTGTCGGTCTTCTTTTAATCTCATCAAAAGTTTTGCCTCTGCAGCAATAAAAACAAGCCTGATGATGGATGATTCAGAAGCATGTTTTTGTAAAGATCCAGTCTGCCCTCTAGTGGACAATGACTCCAGTGCTGCCTCAGCGTGTCACCTTGTCAGATGGGGACACCAAAGCCCTCTGGGTGTTGAGCTGAAATAGAAACTGCCTCCCTCTCAGTCACGTTGTGCATTTGCAAAATCTCAGAGGTCAGAACCGTTCCCGGAAAGTTTACAGACACCTTCAGCAGACACAGTGGCCTCTCTTTTTTATTCTTATTTAAACCCAACGCTTATAAGGTCGTTGGAATTTGAAATTGTCTGGAGCAACAGTTCAGGGATTTCAAATAAAGCAGCAGTTTTCTGTTTTATGTTAGCAGACAGATTATTTAAAAGAGGACAAAAAATACTTCATCTATGAAAACTGAAAATATCATTGAACCAATGTTCATTTGATAAATGTGTTTTCTGCCCTCGCTGCTCAGGACTGCTTCTCATATGGATGCAATGCAAGAATGTTGATATTATAATGTGGAACGCGTCTGAAAGGAGCTTTAATAACCATCTTGAAATGTGTCTTAACCCGTGTCTATTTGGGTCCGCAGATTTATTTCTTTTAAAAATCATATGAAATAATTCAGAAAACGTTTTTCCACACCAAACTCTGTTATATTCTTATAACTTTATGAAATAAAAAGCATGGCAGCAGTTTGATAAAGATTTATTTCTTTATGCATTGAGTTTATTATGCTTAAGCACTTTAACTTGACAAAGCAGCAGATTTTATTAATGAAAAGTTAATTTAAAAAAGTTTTCAAAACAAAAATCTGGACTTGTGCAAATATGTAGACAAATGATCTGCATTTCCATTAAAGAAATCACTGTTGAGTTTGTTTAATAAATCAACATGAAGGAGTCTGCAGATGCTGCAAAAATGCAAAGAATTTAGCTTTGTAAGAGGTTGTTTACTCAACATGGAGCGATTTTATAGGATTAACATTTTCTTAAACTTCTTGCCATACAGGAAAAAAACATTTGTTAATCAAAATTCCCATTGCTGTGTTGGAAACCGGTGATGGTGTTGAAGAACATGTCGTTTTCATTGGAAATGCCTTCAGCGTTGGTTATGCTTTCTCTTTCATCTGGATTGGCTTTGGACATCTTCTTCAGTTTTGTGCTAAAATATTTAAAAATGCAGATTTTAAAATAACATCTTCACCAGCTGGAGGTCCAAGTGAACCTGGATATTTTGGTAAACGAAACCGGCGACTCATACCTGAGAAACAGCAAAGCGTTCTTTACCCACTCGTCTTGCTTAGTGGCACAAACCTCATAGTGATTGATGGTGTAGAAACTGTAATAATAAAAATGAGATCAGGCATATTAGGAGCATCATGCGATTAAGGAATAAAAACACGTCAGATGACTTTTTTCAATCCTTTTCACTAATTTTGCTAAACTTTTTATTTTTTATTTATCTTCTGAAGTACATCTGTGGCTATTCTAAGACAATATTTCAAATATAAAACATTTTGTTCATATCGATTATTTAGATAAATTACAACAGTAACAATGATTGGACTGATATAAAGAATATTTTAATAGCTTTTTAAATTTTTTGATTAAGTTATTAATGAATGTTTTAACAATAACTTCTACTTGATAATTAGTTTTTAACTAAAAGGAATATTTTGAAAGAAAACCGTGTGTTTTTCAATTATTTTCATTTTTATAAACACGTTCTTATATTGTTATTTCATCACATTTTTCACAGCAGAACTGTTCAAACTTGATCAAATCACTTGTATTTTTTGGTCAAAAGTAAATTTGACATCTACTTGTAGTTCTACAACTTCAATTTTGTATTAGCATATTTTGGAAAATTATAAATATAATCATCTTGACTGATTCATCTTTACCCACCAGGGTTGAGATGGAAAACATGGATGCTTACATGATTGCCTCGATGCGACAGTTTTCCTGGGCGGTTTGTTCTCTGTAGCCCTTTATACGCGTGAAGGGAACTGGCTTCCTGTTGTATCTTGTACAACAAGCTTTTCCCAGGCGAGAACCTGTGATGAACAAATGCAGTCACACAAATAAATAAACTGTGGGTCATCACATTCTGTGATGGAACAAACTTACAGGCAGCCGGAGTCGGGCCGAGCATCCCAACAGCAAAGAAGAGGAGAACGGTTGCCATAGTGATGCCTCTGGGAGTCATCTTGTCGATCCCACACAGAACTACAATAAGTACATATGACTCCTGCTTGTTTATATACTTGGTACAAAAGGGGGGGTGTTTTGTAACCTGTGGCTTCCAAATCGAGGGCAGGAAGTCTGTTAGAAGCTGAAGATAAAGATTTTACATTAGGTTATAATTAACCTTGACCATAAAGCAGATGTCTTGATATGTGTGTGAGTGTGTATATGTTCTTAACTGGTGCAGAGCATTCCTGCTTTCCTTTGTAACCCCCGGAGCTGGCTCGCTGCATATATATGAATTTTGCCAGTGTTGAACACCATTATATTATATTAACTATTTCCCCAACAGCTTCACAAATCCTTCTCTCCATCTGAATCCACTATAACACCTGATCCTCAATCACACATCAACTTAGATCTAAACGTTCTTCACCCTGCAAGACGACACTCATTTCTGGTTTTTAAAAGCGTCACAAACTTTGACGGGCACAGAGAACATTCGACACCGTCGCTTCAAGCAGTCATTGACCCAGTGGTTTACAGAATCAGCAGTCTTCAGGTTGTTTTGTGGTGAGATGCGATGAAGCACAAGATGCCATGTCGAAACTCCCCTCTCGTTAGCCTGACCTATTTAGTCTGCAGAGTGATGACAGCCTCGTATCGCGCTCAGCTGACCTAGAAAGGCCTGGCAGCTTCAATCTGAATTGCTTGTTAGCTTCACACACACATATGATGATGATGATGATGATGATGATGGTGATGATGACTTTACAAACTCCAGCTTCAGGCAGAAATTTGCTGTGATTATGCTTAAAGCATTTGCAGCATTCATAAAACACACATAAGGTTTTAAAATTGTCAATCAACACCAACTCTAATTCTCTTTGCAGATTATTGTCAGATTGTGTCTGTTGTTCTGAGATGTTTGGGTTAGGGAAACATGTGGAGACAGGACTGTCTAGCTAATAAGTCTGACGCTTTAAAGTCCTAACAGGTTGTTTTTGTTTAATGAAAAAGAAAGAATTTGCCCTTTTTCTTCTCTTTTGCTTCTCATTAGATTCATTACACACAACTGAAGTAGTTCAAGCCTTTTGTTCGTTCTAATATTGATGATTTTGGCATACAGCTCATGAAAACCCAAAATTCCTATCTCCAAAAATTTGCATATTTCATCCGACCAATAATAGAAAAGTGTTTTAAATACAAAAAAGTCTACCTTCAAATAATTATGTTCAGTTATGCACTCAATACTTGGTCGGGAATGCTTTTGCAGAAATGACTGCTTCAATGCGGCGTGGCATGGAGGCAATCAGCCTGTGGCACTGCTGAGGTGTTATGGAGGGCCAGGATGCTTCGATAGCGGCCTTAAGCTTCCCCAGAGTGTTGGGTCTTGCTTCTCTCAACTTTCTCTTCACAATATCCCACAGATTCTCTACGGGGTTCAGGTCAGGAGAGTTGGAAGGCCAATTGAGCACAGTAATACCATGGTCAGTAAACCATTTACCAGTGGTTTTGGCATTGTGAGCAGGTGCCAGGTCATGCTGAAAAATGAAATCTTCATCTCCATAAAGCTTTTCAGCAGATGGAAGCATGAAGTGCTCCAAAATCTCCTGATAGCTAGCTGCATTGACCCTGCCCTTGATAAAACACAGTGGACCAACACCAGCAGCTGACATGGCACCCAGACCATCACTGACTGTGGGTACTTGACACTGGATTTCAGGCATTTTGGTATTTCCCTCTGCCCAGTCTCCCTCCAGACTCTGGCACCTTGATTTACGAGTGACATGCAAAATTTGCTTTTATCCTAAAAAAGTACTTTGGACCCCTGAGCAACAGTCCAATGCTGCTTCTCTGTAGCCCAGGTCAGGCGCTTCTGCTGCTGTTTCTGGTTCAAAAGTGGCTTGACCTGGGGAACGTGGCACCTGTAGCCCATTTCCTGCAAATGCATGTACACGGTGGCTCTGGATGTTTCTACTCCAGACTCAGTCCACTGCTTCTGCAGGTCCCCCAAGGTCTGGAATGGATCCTTCTCCACAATCTTCCTCAGGGTCCGGTCACCTCTTCTCCTTGTGCAACGTTTTCTGCCAAGCTTTTTCCTTCCCACTGAGGTGCCTTGATACAGCACTCTGGGAACAGCCTATTTGTTCAGAAATTTCTTTCTGTGTCTTACCCTCTTGCTTGAGGGTGTCAATGATGGCCTTCTGGACAGCAGTCGGGTCGGCAGTCTTACCCATGATTGCGGTTTTGAGTAATGAACCAGGCTGGGAGTTTTTAAAAGCCTCTGGAATCTTTTGCAGGTGTTTAGAGTTAATTAGTTGATTCAGATGATTAGGTTAATAGCTCGTTTAGAGAACCTTTACATGATATGCTCATTTTTGGAGATAGGAATTATGGGTTTTAGTGAGCTGCATGCCAAAATCATCAATATTAGAAACAATAAAAGGTTTTAACTAATTTAGTTGTGTGTAATAAATCTAAGATATATGAATGTCTAATATTTATCAGTACATTACAGAAAATAATGAACTTTATCACAATATGCTAATTTTTGAGACGGACCTGTATGTACTGGTCTTGGAAATCTTCCAGTAGACAACCACAAATTTTAATGATAGAATCCATATAGAATAGCTGATGAGTCTAGTATCAGCTCCTTGCTGTTTTCTCCCATAGGAGGGCAGTGCTGTCATTGGCCCAGCAAGATTTATTAGGTGGTTATGACGAATCTGGTCCTTTTCCAGTGTTTTTGGATTGTTTGTTGCACCAACAATATGAAGCTGAGAAGTAAACACGCACGATCATTGAGAAAATAATCCTGATAAATGCATTTTCTTTACAATATTTTCTACTTTTCTCGCCTGTTTTGTTTGTTTATTGTTGCTTTTTTTTATTATTTTTTGAAAATTTGAAGATTCTGGAAGTATTTTGATTTTTGAGTCTGGATCATTTGAGTTTTTGCTTGAGAACAGTGCTGGTTTCAGCTTCTCAGATGTGATGACTCGGACTTTCAGGATCAGCAGTAGAAACGTGACACACGCGTTTGATGGTTTTCTTATTTACTGATCAACTGATGAAATACCCAAATTATTTACTACTCATCAAACGACTATTTATATTGACTAAAGTGTTTTAAATATATAAATATATGTTTGTGAAAATATCTAAAGTGTCTAAAGTTATCAAGTATTTATCTTTTTACCAGCTTCTTACATCTTTACTCGCTAAATTCTCCAACAAATGTTAAGACTAAGCAGCAACTGTGCTGCTGTGGAGGTTCAGCTTTGTGAAACATTCACACACACACACACACACACACACACACACACACACACACACACACACACACACACACACACACACACACACACACACACACACACACACACACACACGTCTGCTCTCTTTTACTGGAAACAAAGTTGCTGAGAGCGTAGAGAGTGAGCTAAAATAGTACTGCTACAGGCGGTAAAAGCACCATGATGCCAAAAAGACACTCAAATGTTTGGCACCGTTGAGGGGAACTGCTTCTTTGTGGGTTTATCGCCATGAGTAACAGTTTTCATTACACATTTTTTAATTATTTCTTGACGTCAAATAACCGAAGGAGCACACCTTTCGCATCTGCGGACGTAATTTGGCTAAAAAACTGTTTGTGGCGCTCAATTTCTCATCTTCATAAAATAAGATTTTTTTTTAATTATTTGAATTTAAACCCTTTTTTCATTTGTTTTTTCTCACACAACAGAGCGAGGTGGACTTTTCCTTCTCTCGGGCCCCTTTTTTCTTCCTTTTAAGCTCACTGCTGGATGCAGAACCAGAAGGAAGATGAGGGGAGGGGGACGGAGGGATGCTGAGAGTAAAAAAAGAAAGATGGGGAGTGGGGAAGGGGAGGAGGGGTCACCATTGAGTTGTCCACCCACATGAGGCCCCCTTCTGGTCACCTGCGTGGGTGTGGGCTAAAAGAAAGGGCGAGGATGCTCGCAGACGAGCTGCACAAAGGCAAAAAAAAGAGAGAAAGAGAGAGGGATGCCTGCTTTCTAACCCCAAATGTCAAATGTAGCAGAGCAGCGTGGAATAAAAGCCTTTTTAATTAGCAGGAAACGTCCTCAAGCCTGCATAAAGGGGTGTTGTGAGTTTCCCTTTAAAAGCACTTCACAACAGAGGAGAGTTCAGACAGCAACGTGATAAAAACACATTCTCTTAAAGCAGTTGGCTGAGGTGTGATCTTATAGGGGGGGGGCTTTTGTTTATCATAATAGGCATTGTTCCACGCTGCCAAGCCAGTGTGGCACTAAAGGTAATGGGCTCGTCTGCGCTTTATTGAGGAATTACGGCACACTACTTGGTACATTTCATTATGTGAGCCCAGCAGATTCCGCCTTCACCATTTCCTCCTACGTGCCATCTGCCCCGGGTGTCCAGACTGTGGGTGACTGTTGTGGGGGTGAATGAGGAATCACTGGAAAAGTTGTGATGTAAGTCTTTCTAACACTTTGCTGTTCAAACCAACACTATAACATCCGCACTCGACAAAGTGAGTCAAAGATGACTAAGTTAGGAGAAGAGACCAAGTTAAACGACCTCCGTGACATCAGAACGAACCCGGAGGGGTTTTAGTCTGGCAGCGCCAACTCATGGCCCGGGAGGCTGGGGGGGGGTTCTTCTTTTAGGTTAAAGAGGTGAAGAGAAGAGAGGGGAAGGAGAAAGAATGGGTGCTATGAAGTAGTGTATTTTTAGGGTGCTCTGTTATCGGCAGAGAGGAGGCCGTGTGGTATCACAGCTGGGTCACATCGCTGGGGGTGAACAGAACCGACTCTCCACTGAGACGAGAGATAAGAAGGAACAGAACAATGATTTTCCTCACATGTCCACAAACACACACACCATAACTGCAGCTCACATGTCCTCACACACACTCACACACACACACACGAAAAAAGAGACTGTGTTGAAAGATCACATCAGATGCGAGTCCTCTCCACGGCCGACCTGAGTGTGTTTTCCCACCGATGACTGACGTCATCACAGAGCGTTTCACTACCCATTTTATCTCCCTGTCTCTCTCTCCTCCATTGTTGTGCTCCTCAGATGTAAATGCCAGCAGAACAGATGGATGGAGGGAGCATCTCATCACTCTGACACCATGTTTATGCAATCGCATGCAAACACACCACACAAACTCCCCCCAAACACACACACACACACACACACACACACACACACACACACACACACACACACACACACACACACACACACACACACACACTTCTACTGTATCCTCCCAAACAAGTTGCTGATGGAGATTTCTTCACACTCACACACCAAAACACTCAGATTTAACCCTTTGTTTGCCACTTCATTTTGATTTTTTCAGATTAGCAGCTGTCAGGGAGAAAAGCGGGTACCAGCGGAACACCTCCGACATGCTAATGATGCTCCGTCGGCCCAAACGGTTCAGTCGCCCTACATTGTGCAGATTTAGAAACTCCCGACTGTTATCTGTCACATTTCCCAGAGAATATTGGTCTAGTTGTGAGAATATTAAATGGTTTTTAGCTCGCAGAGCAATCTTAGCACACTGTGTAGGACTGCGAGCCAAATGAAAGCCAGGCTCGCTCCAGGAATATCTTAGGGAGCCTTTGAGGGAAGATCCTCTTTCAACACCCCACACCACGCCGCCGCCGCCCACCCACCCAATCAGGTTCTCACTGGCAACGTGCTACTCCTCATCTCCTTTCCTTGCTTCTATTGTTCATCTCTCTCAGCCGCCCACACACCTACCGTCCCTCGGGCTTTTCTCCTCACACACACACACACACACACACACACACACACACACACACACACACACAGAAATTTACATTTGGCCACTTTGTCTGTACTTCAGTTAAATTCTTCCTCCTCACCTTCCTCCCTTTACCACTATTAGCTACGAAGAGATTGTGTATGGATATAGGTGTGAACCCTGAATCACATGTGCGAGTATAGCAACAAACACAGAAGGCTGCTATACTTAGTGCTGTTCAATGCAGATGTGTGGGCAGCAACCATCTGGGGCCCCGAAAGGAACAAAAAGTCTGTTTAGGATGTGCGGCGCAGGGACGAAGGCCAAACTTTCAGGGTCCGAGGATGGAGGGATCATTGTGGAAACCCCCCCACCCTCTCTGAAGTGAGCTGGGAATCTCAGGGGAGTGTGGGAAAAACATCTCGACCATCATTAATCAAAACTTTGCTGACACAAATGACCAGCAACAACAAAGTGCTCTCCATCCAAATCACAGTGTCACCTCCACCCCAGCGGGCATGTCCCACCCACCTGTGCCGCCGCCTCATAGGCCCTCACCCCACGCCGAACGATGCGATTGGTTTGCCGCTCTCTCCTCCGAGCGAAATCGAGTTTCCCCTCATGGCTAATTGGGTCTTTGTGATTGCGCAGTCGATCGTGGCGCTGTGGGAGAATGAAACGTGAAAACGGCATTATGGCGGGATGACGGAAGAGTGGCAGGTCGAAGCGGGGGGAACGCGCTTTTTTTTCGGCCATCTCAAAGCGCCAGATGCTCTTCCTGGGTTTATTATGATGCCTTACAGGGAGCTAACATGGTTTCAGGGTAGCAACTGAAACGACACAAAAGCAAGATGGAGACTTTGGAAGATGGAGAAACACAAACACGCAAATGCTGCAAACAACGCCACATGAAACCTCGCAAATTTAGAGCTGCACGTTTCAACAGACTTCATAAAAACTTACATGGGGAAACCATGTTGGAGCTAAAGGTGTCAAACAGAAAAACCACTGAGCAAGAGTAGGAGGCCGGGTCATGAGCACCAGGCCTTTCACACAAGGCCATTTCTCTGCAACTGTTTGTTTGTAGATGCTTCTTTATTAATAAATGACTCAGCTCTCCTTTTTTTAATTACGCCCAAATGGGATTTAAAACATTAGCAACCACAGCTGACAGATGGCTGGAGACAGACTGGAGCTCCTTATCCTCATGTCATTAGCACTGGAACATCTAACAACCTATGATGGTGCTTTGGAGCGTGTGTGTGTGTGTGTGTGTGTGTGTGTGTGTGTGTGTGTGTGTGTGTGTGTGTGTGTGTGTGTGTGTGTGTGTGTCGGGGTTCTCTTCCATCAACAGGTGGCGCTGCAGGCACGCTCTCTGGTGATGCGCTCCTCTCCTGAAGGACAAAGAGCATCAGATCCATGCAGTCCAGCCCCTTTGTGGGGAAACTTGGTGGATTTTCACGTTGAAATTATGCGCGTGACTTTTCTTTTTGTGGAGGTTGTTATGACCCCGCGTGCTGCGGGGTTATCGCAGCTGAATGTCACTCCTGACGTGAGACAATTGTTCACATATCTCCACAGATCGGGGATTAAAGAGGCTAAGAGAGGATGTACCAGAAACCTCTCTGACTTTAGCTTGAGGTTTTAATACATTTTAAAGTTATTTTTAATAACTTTTCTAATTCCTCGTTAAATCAGCAGATCTTCTTTAACTTTGCTCGGATTTCTGAACCTGACGCTAATAGGAGCCACAGAGACAGTGTGTCATTAGGCTCATGTCATTTCCCATTAAGAGAGGCTTGTGAGTGGAGACCGCCCCAGACTCCGCCGCTGCTGCTGCCGCATCCCAACTCAAATCCTGGTTTTCATTCACACACACTTTTCCCACCGGGCGGGATGGAGGCGCTTCAGCCAGCGCGCAGAGCCAACAGAGGACGCGTCCGCACCACGGCACACATGGCCGCGAACTGGTGGCGAACAGTTTCCACTTCCATCTGGATAATATCTCTAGTTTCAAGCGCGAGGACGAGGAATTATTCTCCCAATGAAGGTAAGTTACTGGAGAGAAAGAGAGAGGAAACGGCTTCGGGGTTTCAGCGCAGCGCGCGCTCCGGGCGCATGAAGACAGCTGATTTAAAGTGGAATTTTAAAAATATCCGTTAGTGTCTGGTATTTATATTGTTTCTGACAGAGGTCTGCCTTAAGTTTAATTTTAAAAATTATCCTCTGGTATGTTATATCATATATGAATGAATTCCTTTGCGTTTTTTTACATATATCTCCATTAAATTCTGCACATTTTAACGCGTTTTTCATCCAAGCTTCGTTTTTAAACCATTAAACGTTCAGTTTATTCATGCAATAATCATAATACTAATAAAAATAGTATTTGGTGCAGAAATTATCTAAAGAAACAAATTTGTGTAAAATTGTGCAGAAATAAAACAAATGTTTCAGTAGCTATAACTGACTGAAGGAAGAAAAAGCTGCTTCCACGTTTGTTCTGAGCTTCTTAGTCTTCTAATTGAACTTGATAGTTTTCTCTAGTTTTTTACTGTTTGGCTCTTTTGTTCTTGGAGCACTCCACTTTATTTGTCCTAAACCCCACTCGTATTTGTGAATATGTGCAATTTTAGTGACCCTGCTGGATACCCAGGACAGTGCCAGGAGAGCTGAAATGGGCAGCCAGTCCTTCAGAGGGAGGGGTGAGTGGGAGCAGTTTTCTCTTCTTTACTGTTTACAACCTTCTCTCTCTCTCTCTCTCTCTCTCTCTCTCTCTCTCTCTCTCTCATCTCTCTCTCTCTCTCTCTCTCTCTCTCTCCTCTCTCTCTCCTCTCTCTCTCTCTCTCTCTCTCCTCTCTCTCTCTCTCTCTCTCTCTCTCTCTCTCTCTCTCTCTCTCTCTCTCTCTCTCTCTCTCTCTCTCTCTCTCTCTCTTCTCTCTCTCTCTCTCTCACTCTCTCTCTCTCTCTCTCTCTCTCTCTCTCTCTCTCTCTCTCTCTCTCTCTCTCTCTCTCTCTCTCTCTCTCTCTCTCTCTCTCTCTCAAACACACACACACACACATACACACACACACACTTGATCTGGAAGCTGTAAATAATCATCCCACAGATTTTGCAATGTGCTGTTGTTCTCCAAGCTTAAGTGCTAATATGAGATTGCTGGCGTTGCGTTTGGCACAAGCGGAGGCACAAACCAGCTTGATGGTGGGTGTCATTTTTTAGGGATTTGTACTACCAAGTACTTGCCAGGATAAATCCTGGAAATGTTTGATTAATATTAAATTTATTTTCCAGCTTTATGTACTTTTTTTGTCTTTGGGATGCATCATCGCCACATCCTCATCCTTCTTGTTCACTCAGCGTGTCTCTGGACACTTTTCTGGATGAAGAGTTTCTGGTGAACTTGACTTTCACTAAAGACTCATCTGATCACATGCCACTTGACTGACAAGGTCCTGGTCTTCACGTACTGAGCTTTAGCCCCCTACACACACACACACAAACACACACACACACACGCACACACACGCACACTCTTCATGGTTGGGGCAAATGGAACGCTTTCTTCCCCCTGACAGCTGTGATTTTTGTCTGCTGACAAAAACTCCAAAAGAGAGTAAACAAAGAGGCGTCATACTCCCATGTTTGCTTTCATACCACTGTCCTCCTCATGGAAACACACACACACACACACACACACACACACACACATATATATATGTGTATGTATATATATATATATATATATATATATATATATATATATATATATATGCACACAATCCACAAGTGCATGAAGCAGTGCACAACATCCCAATTGGGCTTAAATTTGGCTGGTGTTTCAGGATGACCAAATTAGGGGTAGGCCAATATATATCGGGCCGATATTTGGTGTTAGCAAAAGCGATTTAAATGCAGGCACATCCTCGGGCAGCTCAGTGCTGTTGCAGAACTTGGCCCAATCCCTATTCTCACACTACATCCTGCGGTCTTTAGCAAAGTGCACTTGGAGAAAGTGTGCAGTAGCTTCAAGTGAGTGGGACACAAGTGTGCAAATAATGGCTGAATTGAGACAGAGGGCATTGCGTCATCGACTGCAACGCATGCCGGGATGCTGGTCGCTGTGATACTTTGTTTTAAAAACCTTTAAAAACAACTTTTAAACAAACTAATCAAAGATTTTTAGAAAAAAATGTACATTTATTGCTGCTTTGTTTTCAATGTTTCAGAGCATCAAGTAATAGTCCCAAAGTGAGCGACTTTCATTAGAAAATACATATTTTCAGAAAAGGCACTTGAGCCTTTTCTCCCGCAGCAGTGGATTGTGGGTAGTACCCTTCACCCAAGTGTGCATCGATGCAGACTTGGGTGAAGCGCGGATCAAGGGTGCAAAAGGGGTGTGATCAACTTCTGCACTTGAAAATTAGGACACACACCTGCACCCCTGGTTGGAGCGCACAAGCGTAGAAGTGCGAGTGTTGGGATTGGGCCTTTGTCATGATCAGCTCCCTGCTCCACAGCTCCTGGGGATTGTTGCAAAACAATTTCCTGCCAACAGAGGGCACTTTTCTGGGATATCCTGCCCATTACAGTCACATATCGGTCCACGGCAGTGTATTTATTGTTGTAATTACATTGTTTTATTTCAGAGACTTCCTAACACGGACACATTTGTCCCTCATTCCCCTTCACCTCTTAATGTGATCGGCACCTCCAAACTCACGTTTCGTGTCTTTTCCGTCCACGAATAAAAAGCTTGCTGCATTTCTTTGGTCAACAACAAAGTGAATCAACGTTCCAATTTTAGACTTTCTCCACAATGCGTTGTTCTGTTTCGTGTCTGTTGCTAAAGATCACTTGACTTTTGAAGCAGTTAAGATGAATAACGAATTAACGGCTGTTGACAAATTAACAGGAAGCAGCATCCTGACCAATCACAAGCTTGCGTTCTCCATCTCTTCTGAAGGATAGTAAAAAATTAGGGCATGTCTTCAAAGAAGTAAATATTAGGCTTTAGTGTTAATTGATCCCACCTGCCTCTCGTTTCCTGATTACCTGTACCCTGTTGTATTTAGTCAGTCAAATCATCTGCATATCTTTGTCCCTGGGCCTGGTTTGTTGTTATTCCTGGTTCCTGACATTACCACCAACTTTCTACAGCTGCTCCTGTATATAATAACATCTGCACAATAAATACACTAAATTAACTTTATTTAGGTATCGGACTTAGTGCATTTAACAGTTAGTTCAATTCAGAGTTCAATAACTGATTCATATAATGTTATTTTTGATAGTTTAGCATAAATATAATGTGGAAAATGTCTAAATATCGGCCCTTAAATTTTGGCAGTACATACCAGCCATCGGCTGACCATGTCTCCTACATACAGTGGCGTGAAAAACTATTTGCCCCCTTCCTGATTTCTTATTCTTTTGCATGTTTGTCACACAAAATGTTTCTGATCATCAAACACATTTAACCATTAGTCAAAAGTAACACAAGTAAACACAAAATGCAGTTTTGAAATGATGGTTTTTATTATTTAGGGAGGAAACAAAATCCAAACCTACATTGCCCTGTGTGGAAAAAGTACTTGCCCCCTTGTTAAAAAATAACCCAACTGTGGTGTTTCACACCTGAGTTCAATTTCTGTAGCCACCGTCAAGCCTGATTACTGCCACACCTGTTTCAATCAAGAAATCGCTTAAATATGAGCTGCCTGACACAGAGAAGTAGACCAAAAGCACCTCAAAAGATAGACATCGTGCCAAGATCCAAAGAAATTCAAGAACAAATGAGAACAAAAGTAATTGAGATCACCAATCTGGTAAAGGTTATAAAGCCATTTCTAAAGCTTTGGGACTCCAGCGAGCCACAGTGAGAGCCATTATCCACAAATGGCAACAACATGGAACAGTGGTGAACCTTCCCAGGAGTGGGCAGCCGACCAAAATTACCCCAAGAGCGCAGAGACAACTCATCCGAGAGGTCACAAAAGACCCCAGGACAACTTCTAAAGAACTGCAGGCCTCACTTGCCTCAAATAAGATCAGTGTTCACGACTCCACCATAAGAAAGAGACTGGGCAAAAATGGCCTGCATGGCAGATTTCTTAGACGCAAACCACTGTTAAGCAAAAAGAACATTAGGGCTCGTCTCAATTTTGCTAAGAAACATCTCAATGATTGCCAAGACTTTTGGGAAAATACCTCGTGGACTGATGAGACAAAAGTTGAACTTTTTGGAAGGCAAATGTCCCGTTACATCTGGTGTAGAAGTAACACAGCATTTCAGACAAAGAACATCATACCAACAGTAAAATATGGTGGTGGTAGTGTGATGGTCTGGGGTTGTTTTGCTGCTTCAGGAACTGGAAGGCTTGCTGTGATAAATGGAACCATGAATTCTACTGTCTACCAAAACATCCTGAAGGAGAATGTCCGGCCATCTGTTCGTCAACTAAAGCTGAAGCCATCTTGGGTGCTGCAGCAGGACAATGACCCATAATACACCAGCAAATCCACCTCTGAATGGCTGAAGAACAACAATATGAAGACTTTGGAGTGGCCTAGTCAAAGTCCTGACCTGAATCCTATTGAGATGCTATGGCATGACCTTAAAAAGGCGGTTCATGCTAGAAAACCCTCAAATAAAGCTGAATTACAACAATTCTGCAAAGATGAGTGGGTGAAAATTCCTCCAAAGTGCTGTAAAAGACTCGTAGCAAGTTATCGCAAATGCTTGATTGCAGTTATTGCTGCTAAGGGAGGCCCAACCAGTTATTAGGTTCAGGGGGCAATTACTTTTTCACACAGGGCAATGTAGGTTTGGATTTTGTTCTCTCTCTAAATAATAAAAACCATCATTTCAAAACTGCATTTTGTGTTTACTTGTGTTATATTTGACTAATGGTTAAATGTGTCTGATGATCAGAAACATTTTGTGTGACAAACATGCAAAAGAAAAAGAAATCAGGAAGGGGGCAAAGAGTTTTTCACACCACTGTATCTGCGTTGGTATCAGCAACAGGTAAACCAATATCGGTTGACCTCTAGACAAAATTAACTTGCAGCTAGCTAAAACTGTGTCTTTATACGTTTACTCTCAGATTCGACACCGCTTTAGTTTAAATTCTTAACCTTTAACTCCCCAAGAGCAAATGACCAAATGCATAATCTACTCTTCCTAATTCATAAAAAGGTCAAAATCTCTTAAATTTTTTCTGCACTGCAGTTCTTTATTTTTGTTTTTATTTTTTTGCAGGTCTAATAAACAAAAACAAAAAAATCCCATCACTGCTAATTTATCAGCAGTGAGCCTGCATGGGCCACTGACTAAATATCGAACATGCAGGCTGGAGATGCACACCAGCACCGTCTCTGCCCCAAACGCACACTCACTCTCTGCCACTCTCCGGCTCTCCCACTCTTTTTCTCCTTCCGGACACGGTGGATTTAGTGTGTATACAGCTCTCACTAGTAAGGAAAGAGCAGATTATTATTCAGTGGCAATAAAAAGCCTATTTGGATCAGGGAGGCTCAGCGGTCATTTGAAGGGTCACAGTACAAGGCAAATAATCGGCCCTATTGAGATGGATGGTGCAGTAAAGGCTGGGCCTGCTTCACTTGTATGGAAATGCGCCTGCAGAAGCCTTGGAGTCGCAACAAATCGGAGCCGCTGCCCATTGCGGAATATTGATGCACGGACGCTGGCCTGTGAAGCTTTAAAATGACAGCAGTGATTTAGAGGATGCACACCTGCATCTGAAGTGTCTCCACGACTGGTTTACAGTCTTTATGAGGACAACGAGTTTCTTGAGTGTTCACTTAAGCACATTGTGAAAAAACAAGAAAACGTGGTTTGATGCAGTCAAATCAGGGTCTGTAGATGTTTAACTGCTGCAGAAACGAGAGGTGGTCCGTGATGTTTTTGCCTGTCACAGATTTTAGTGTTCAGATACTGCTAGCTGGACAACATTAGCAAACATTACAACATGTTAACTCATTTAGCAGAGATTAAGTTAAAATATTATGTGGTAATTTCTGAGTCATCCAGTCCACACACTAACAAATCACACAAAGTTTCATGATAATGCACGAGATCATCAAGCATGCTATTTTTAAAGATTTGACCCAAATAGTTTTAACGTCTGACTATAGTTGCAATGGGGTGATTTGCATTCTTCAAAATTCAAGAAAAGTTATAGCTTTAATTATTTATAAGAACATCACTAAAAATATCAACCTGTGGACGTTTGATGGACTGGCAGCCTGCCCAGGACGTCCCCCGCCTCTCGCCTGGTGACAGATAGACAGCTAGGCTCCCTTCACACTACTCAGCAATAAGATGGTTCAGAAGACGAATGACTTAATGGATGAATAAATCTATTCAGCTGTTGGCGTTTAACTGAATCTTCAATACATCATTATGTTACTTAATATCCAAGGATTAAAATGTAGTTTCTTGAAAAACAAAGTTGCTTTAAAGGTGAGGTTCAGTGATATTCATACTTTAGTACTTGTTATTTTAGAAACAATCAGTCACTCATAGTTTCACTTGCAAGCTTAATGTGAAAATAGTCTTCTACGCCTATTTCCTGCATTAGCCACAAAAGCTAACAAACTGGGAAATGGCCAGGTCAGAAAAAGTCACACAGCTCTATGTCACACTGTAAATTAGTGTTCATGGACTCACCCATCTTGGCTTGCAACAAGGAAGGCTGTTGCTGATTTAGCATCCAGGAGAGAGTAGAGAATGTCTCGAGTAGTAGAAGCTAACAATAGCATTAGCAACTTCTCAATACAACAGAACTTCTTCAGGCTTGTGTTGTTTGTGGAGATTAAACATCAACATTGCAGAGTGAACGGAGGCAGTGGAGTATCACTGCTGTTAGCCAATCAGAGGCAAGATGTTTGAATATAATGAATAGTAATGGGTAAGACTCCAATTCCTGCCGTTTTCTCCTCTCCCGTCCTCTCACTGATTTCTACTTTTTGAAACAGGAGTACCAAAACATTTTTGCACAGAAAACGACTCAAAAGGTATTTATTTATACTCGAGACCACTGCTAGTTGATTGAAATAATGAGTGTATACACGTTTTTAAAATCCACCCATATTAATTGAATGTTTACTAATTAATGATCAAGTTGATTAACCATCATCTTGTGTAAAGTTTGACCCGTCGGGGTTACTGTCACGTTGTTTGCATGAAGTAAAATTTGTGGGAACTCTTTTAAAAAGTTCCAGCTATTTTTCCAACGTATTAACTTGTGCGTGCGTGTGTGTGCGTGCGTGCGTGCGTGTGTGTGTGTGTGTGTGTGTGCGCGTGTGTGTGTGTGTTTGAAGTGGGAGGAGGTGAGCATCATGGATGAGAAGAACATTCCTATCAGGACATACCAGGTGTGTAACGTCCTAGAACCCAATCAGAACAACTGGCTGCGGACGGATTGGATACCTCGGTCCGGTGCTCAGCGGGTTTACGTTGAAGTCAAGTTCACTTTGAGAGACTGCAACAGCCTCCCGGGAGTCACCGGCACCTGTAAGGTACATAAAAACAATCCCCCTCCCGCTTGAACTTAAGGCTCGTTTCCAGAATGCAGAAGAAAGTTTGAACCAAACTACAGAAAAACGATTTGTCACAAACTTCCTTCATCCCTTGGCTTTCATCGTGATTAGTTAAAGTGCTAATAGACCTTTTATATGTATGACTCCTACTTATTCCTCAGGCCCAAACGCGACTTTGGCTCCGTGTCTTATTAAAGGGAACAGATGATGAATGGATGCCTCCGTCACTCCTTTTTTTTCCCCTAACACCAATTTTGTCTTGCAGGAGACATTCAATCTGTACTACCACGAGTCAAACGAAGACAGAGAGAGCTACATCAAAGAGAGCAGCTTCATTAAGGTGGACACTGTGGCAGCAGACGAGAGCTTCACCCAGGTAACACCAAACAACTGAGTCAGACTTTCATTTCTTTATCCTCCCACGTTCTCTCACTTTAATTTGCTGCTGTGTGGAAAATAAAACCTTCAGGCATTTAGCTGTAATTTTCTGACTTAGTTTACAAGCACTTTTATCTTGGATGTCTGTTTTGCTGTCCTAGGACTATTGCCAGTGTGCTTTTGCTTAGCCATTCCTAAAGCGTCTGCTGATTTAAGTGATGCGAGGGGTTGAGGCTTATTTTACCTTTGAAATCAATAGAAGTTAATCTGAATGAAAGCAAAGTGCTGAAAATGGGAACATCAGTCATGGTTCAACTGAAACTCCCAGTTCAGGTTTAACACGTGAGTTGGATTAATAAGGACTGACATATTTTTACTGCAGCTTTCTAATTAAAGTAACCCAGTTCTCTTCTCACTCAGGTGGACGTCGGAGACCGCATCATGAAGCTGAACACGGAGGTGCGAGATGTAAAAGTCACAACGCGGAAGGGCTTCTACCTGGCCTTTCAGGACGTGGGCGCCTGCATCGCTTTGGTTTCGGTCCGAGTTTTCTATAAAACCTGCCCGCTCACTGTCAGAAATCTGGCCACGTTTCCCGACACGGTCACAGGTGCTGACACGTCCTCCTTGGTGGAGGTCAGAGGGTCATGTGTGAACCAATCAGAAGAAAGGGAGGAGCCTAAAATGTACTGTGGTGCTGATGGGGAGTGGTTGGTTCCTATTGGGGGATGTCTGTGCAAACCAGGATATGAAGAGAAGAGTGGAACGTGTAAAGGTGAGTTCCAGTAACCTGTTGTGTAACTTATTGATTGTGTTACTTTGTGTTGCTGGTTTGTCAAATCACCGTAAAAACAGCAAACAGCTGCTGGCACTTTGCTACCAACAAGAAGTTACAAATTATGGGACTCGGTTTGTGCACTGCTCTAAAACTACTTCTTTCATCCTAATTATTAGCCATCCTAAATATATAATCTAACCACGACCCATTGAAATAATCCAGTCGTGGAGCGGAATCTATGGTTGTCTTTCAAAATCGACCATTCAGAGCATGGATGTCTGTCGACGAGTTAGTCCGCCTATACCGCCAAACTAGCAGCAAATAAGATTAAATAAAGGACCTCAGTACCTCTGTTTGCGCACATTTTAAGAAAAATCCAAGTTTAAATCGTCAAAGCATTTTCAAATTAGCGCAGATCCTGAGCTGCCACCATATTGTAGTTTGAGGTGCAACGCCCGCCCTACAAATATAGATCGCTGTGATTGGCAAGATGCTAAACGGATCAGGCCTGCAGAGCCTGCAGTGGAGCGTGGCTAGACCGACCTGCAGAGCAAAATCTTTTGCTATTGTTGATCTAGATTTCTAGGCTACAACTTTGATGCATTTGACATAATCTTTGTTTAAGGTGGCTTGCTGGCAATGGACAAGTGGATCTATGTCAAAGCAAGTTGTAATTCTTTAAGATTTTATCAACATAACTATAATAAAAAACTAGCAAACCAAATCGAACCAAATGCAATGTTAAAACTTAACATTAGGCAAATATCCCACGGCAATAAATAGCGACGTTCCTAAAATGTAAAAAAAAAAATGACACATACAAAAATCTTACTTTTACTCGCTTGTTGCAAAAGTTTTGAACAAGTTCAGAAAGTTTGTAGGATTTGTTTTTTATTAAAATACCCTGTCTGGAACCCTTCTGGGTTTAGTTAGGGGGGTATTTGTGACGTGTGAAGCTAAGCTTTTACATTTTTAAATGAAATTGGGATAAATCAGGATGAATATAACATGAATTAAAGAGATTATTAAGACAGTTAACTTGCACATTTGCAGTTTTCACCATAGTTATGTGAAATAAACCAACTTCTTTGAAAACATGTGATGTTGATATGTGCGCCACTTCCCCAAACACAAACTAACAATGTTTCTGAATAACTAATCACAGCTAGCACGTAACACCAATGATGATGTGCACCTGTAAAAAAAATATCTCAGGTCATTTTCCATTTTTGAATCAGGAAAAAGTCCTTTTTTACACTGAGGGGGCAGGACATAAAACTTTCAATAACAATGTTTAAATGGTTTTAGGTTAATTGTATAAATGATAAAATATTGTAAAAAAAAACATGCCAATTATTTTTTTGACTAATAGGAAACCTTCAGCTAACCATTTCTGTTACTTTTCCTAGTTGAGTATTTAAACTGGTACCATCTTCACACAGACTATAAAACAAGGTGCAACGTTCAAAACCAGCTGAAGACTCTGTTTAGCTGTAGAAAACTGATTATTAATATCTGAGTTTCCGTTGGTTACTTGGCAACTTTGTGTGGTGGAGACAACATTTGTCAGGAAAAACTCATGAAAAGAGTGTCGCTCACACTTCATGTGCAGAACAAATGTGTGGATCTATTTGGAGCTTGTTAGTGAGTGAGTTTTGGAGCTGGAGTTTGTTTCTGTTTGGAACCAGATTTGTTTTTTATCTTCTGGATCTGCTGAGCCACGTCCAGGCTCAGGCTGTGATGAGTTCGCATGCCCTTCGGTTTAAAAATGTTCTCAGGTGTTTACGCTGACAGTCATCCGCTCGGCTTGCACTTCTCACTAACGAGGAAGTTGGACACAATGCTTGTGGCGTTTAATTTTTTTTTATTGTGTGTTATTTAATGTGGGGTGCAACAGACTTTTATAACGTGACTTTATACTCCTGCTATTCAATCATGCACACACAATCTGTTCTCTCACTCTCTCTCTCTTCCTCTCTCACACACACACACACACACACACACACACACACACACACACACACACACACACACACACACACACACACACACACACACAAATGGACAGGGACCAATTGAGAGACGAGGGTGAACGAGTCGCTGATCTACACCCTCGGTTTTATTTATGAAGCCTATCCCAGCAGGCTAATTGTATAACAAACAGACCCATAACTCAGCGAGAACAGAGGAAACGCAAAGAGAGGGAAAGACGAGGAGATGGATATAAAAAGAGGGATGCAGATTGGTGCCAGTTGGCAGGAAAGAGAAGAGGGACATCTTTGCTTTTTTTCTCAGTGAGATGAAATAACAAAGCTGAACTTTTCCGTGTGATAAATGTCCTCTGGAATCTCGTCCCGGCCTGCCCTTTTCGTTTCACTGAAAGAGGGAGGAGGTCGTCCCTGAGCTCTGAAAGATGTTGCTAGATTTAAGAGATCCTCTTGACTCGGTTGAACGTCCAACAGATGTGAAATGCCGTCTATTTATCTGCTGTTGTTCTCTCATTCTGCTGCTCTCACTGCTCTGTCAGGCTGTTGGCTCGGGGCAGCTGCGTTGCTGCAAATCCATCAGTGTCTGCATGAATACACGGAGCTGATCAGGGAAACTTCTGATGCTGCAGAATGACACAGACATCTCAGTCTTCTCTTGTTTTTGGCTGGAAAGGGTTTGCTGAAAGAGGAAGGAAAAGAAGGGGCAGAGCATGGTGGAGAGAAAATAATCTATTGAATAAAGTTTTTTTTCTCTTGTCAGTGAGGTCAAAAGGTTTCCTAATCTCACCTCACATGCATTCTTTCAGACAGCAGAACTAATTCTGGTAGCAAGGGAAGCTCGTTCACTTTCCGCACCAATAACAGACAAGAATATTTTAGGTATTTAAGGATTGTTGAAAATGGCCTCCATTATAAATAATTACATATTCCTATAACTTATTTATTTATTTTATTAATTCAGGCTTTCTGCAACTTTTTTAAATATCTGTTTTCAGTCCGGTTTTCAGGGGACTTTGGTGCACGTGATGACATATTTTACTGAGAATCATGTTAAAGGTGTGGAACTCATTTAATCAATACGCTTGCAGTGGTTTCTAGTCCTTGTAAGTCGTACTCGGTGTAAAAAAAAGGTGCAGAAGCTTCTGCTTCAGCACAGAGAAGTCAGCTGGAGGACAAAGTAGCTTCCCCTATTTCCTGATATTCGGACAACTCTCCTCTGATTGGGTAACAGCAACACAACTCTATTACTGACTCCATCTGCTTTGCAACATTGATGTTTTATCTCTACAAATAGCAAAAGCCTGGAGGAGTTCTGCTGTGTGGTAGAGTTGCTAACGCTAACAGTTAGCTTCTACTAGCTCAGGCGTTCTCTGCTGTTTCCTGGACGCTAAACCAACAACAGCCTGTCCCGTCACGAGTCATGATGGGTGAATGCATTAATGTTAAGTGACAGTGTGATGTAGATCTGTCAAGATTTTCAATTCTTAGAGTTTCACCGTCTATTTTGTATCAGAAGCTAATGCAGGAGATAGGTCTAGGAGACTATTTTTATGTTCAGCCTGCATGAAAATCACAGCTTTACCAAGTATTATCACAAATAATGAATAAAAAAGGTTTTTCTGTTCTCCACACCTTTAAACAGGCTCGTCAGAGACCGGCAGGTCAAAGAATTATCAAATGATAAATAAATGACCTGCACTTGTAGGAAACTTTTCAAACAGTAGATGATGGATGATTCATCAGTGACCACGTCCCTTAAGATCCAATTTGAATTAGCTGTTTTGTCTGTTAAGTGCTGACACCACACTCATCAGTCTTTTGGGCTTAAGTGCATTTTAATGGTTTAGTGCTTCATTTAGTGGGTGTTAAGTGAAACAAACAACCAAATCTGAAACTGGTGCAACTAGATAAAAAAAAAACTGAAAACAATTAGAAAGTCTGGAAAATTGGAAAAAAAATAAATTGGGGGAAAATTGCAATCAAATTTAGAGAATACAAGGAAATCTGTCTCTTTGGAAGCAAAACATGTAAAAATGTATAGGACTTATGAAATGCACTGTAAAGTGTTTAAAACATTTACGAATTATATCTAAAAAAATTAATGACTAGTTTCTGCATCTTCTTTTTAAATAAATGAAGGTTAAAGGGGAGGTAATCATGTGAAAATACAAGTTTTTACCATTGAATTCAACGTTGTTTGGTGACAAAGGCACATAAAAGTGCCGCTCAAATGGTTAATGTAGCAGAAAAGTGTTATTACCAATGCTGACATAAAATGAAGGAATGCAGTTCTTATCAGAGAGCAAAGTCTCACCTCTCCTGTTGTGTGTGTGTTGTAATCTGACCTTCTCAGGTCTACGTTCTGATCCAGCTGTGTGCATCTGTTAGCCCATGTGAGCTCCTTTGGAAAGACTGGAGAAGCCCTTACAGGTTTTCCTAAAATCTGCAAATATTCGTTTGACTTTTCTGCAGCAGAATCAACTGAAATGCACTCAGCACTCAATGATTATAAGGCCACACATACAGTGAAGTCAGACTTTAGTGGGAAAGTTATGAAACAGTAAAGACACAGAGACCTCATCTCTAGATTGAAACCTGAGATTTTTTCATCCCAGCCTTCATGAAACAGTAAATTAGAAAGTAAATGAACAATGAGAAGGTGGCACTGCTGCTGTTCTAAATGTGCCATGAGCTCTGCTGCAGGTCTGCAGGATTTATTACCACAAATAGTCTGAACAACAAATGAGATCCATCTGAGTCACGTAATAAGCAGCCTCTTAAGAGGACGTACCATGCTTGTGTTTTTATAACAAGCACATTTAAACCCCTGCTGGAGGCATCCGAGGGTGGAGAGGTTTAACAAGCTGCTGGGCTGATAATAGCAGGAGAAGAGGAGGGTGTTTCCTCTTATATTAAGCTAGCATTGTATGCGTTTACGTGATTTCAGAACAAGGCCAAACCGCTTCAGAAGTGAAGTTAAACTATTCTTATTTGTGGAGTTAGTCAAGT